ACCTTGTATGTTTATTTGATCTTTGAGTTTAGGGTCAGCCTTTTTATACGTAGAAGTAATTGCATTATTAAGGAGATGGTTGTACTGTTCTTTAGATAATTTGTACATGTTTGATGTTTTGTCGGCTAGAGTTAAAGTTTTTTTTGAGGTTCGTATAGATTTTATATCGTTTGCTAATTTTTTTTGAAAAACATTGTTGATTTTTCGAAATTTGATGGTTTTAACAAGATTTATTAAATTATTTTCGAAAGAACACATTTCTTTAATTTGCGGAGGACATTTAGATGAGTTAATACCGTAGTTTACGTAATCTTCAGAATTCTTTTCATCCGTCTGCTTGTTAATGAAAAAAAGCGCTTTCCACCTCATTCTTTTTATAAGCGTTTCGGTCTTTGCCTTTAATTGTAAAATAAATTCTTTCTCAGATGGTATTGAGATATTTTTAATTGAGTATTGAAAGTTTAATTTCTCCATCTTGTGGACGAATTCGAGTAGAGTGCTCAACTGGTGAAGCGTTTATATCGTTTTATGTAGTGTTGTATTAAAATAATACACAACTCTTGTTCGTTGAAAAGTGCTCAATATTTAAGAAATTTATTTTGATTATATATAAATTTTTACGACAACTTTTACGCCACGTGATACTCTAAAAACTTAAAGTTTTGTTTCCATGGAGTCATTAGAACTCACGCCACCGTAATTTTAACGTCTATTTTAAATTTTGTAATATATGGCTGATGATTGCCGTTAGGCATGAAACTTAAAGTTCCATAATAAAAGTTTTTTCCTTTTTTCGTTTTTAATTATATATATATATATATATATATATATATATATATATATATATATATATATATATATATATATATATATATATATATATATATATATATATATATATATATATATATTATATATATATATATATATATATATATATATATATATACATATATATATACATATATATATATATATATATATATATATATATATATATATATATATATATATATATATATATATATATATATATATATATATATATATATATATATATATATATATATATATATATGTATGTATATATACAATTATAATTTTAACCTCGCGAAATGCAGAAAAATATCTCTCTTTTTAGGAAGTTTTTTTAAGAGAAATAATTTAAGGTTATCTTTAGCTAAACAACTAAACAAAAAGTTTAAGGTTATCTTTAACTAAAATATAATATCCCATGATAATTTTCTAGTTTCATAGTCTGTTGCAGATTATGGTGATATACTTAACTAATCTAGCTGACTTTACTACAATTGGTGCCACTGCACGACATGTTTCTTTTTTTTTAGAAAGCAATCAAAATTTGTAAACTTAAACTCCTTAAAAGTTATTGCTTGTAACTTGCGATGTAATTTCTGCAAATCACTAGTTGTTCACAATGCATTTTAAATGATTTATTTTTACCTGATTCATTACAATGAAATATGATTTATCTAACTTAAAACATACAGATAAATAGAAATATGTAGAATGGTGGTTATGTTTATACTGTGGAACTATATTACTTATACATTCTATGAAGATAGAGAATGTGGCTTTCGTATTTTACCTAAAATTACTTTTGAGCATATAAAGTTAACACTGTATTTATTAAGGAGTGTTAAACTTGCTGCCTAAGTAATAAGTTTTTGCTGAATTAAACTACATTATGGAATACAGCATTTTTTCTGTCTTACTACATTATGAAATAGCTTAATAGAAATTTACTTTGGACACAAACAATCACTTGATGCATGCAAGAATAGTCTATCTTTTAATTACTATGGCTTCAATAGTAACACAAAAAAAACTTTTTAGTAGCTGAAAATATAATGTATTTAGCTACACGGGTAATATAAAGCAGTGCCGTGACTAGTGAGTCGGAGGCCCCCCTAAAACCTGTCATTACAACCTAAAATTTTTTGAAAAAAAAAAAATCTAAAAATTTAATTTCCTTAAAACTTGTAAAAGCCCTAAAATTGGAAATCGACCCCCTAAATCTGCTGCCTCTCCCCTCCTCTAGTTGGGGTATGTGTGTAGTACTGTTATAAAATATTGTGTTATAGTAATATAGTATTGTGTCGTGCCTAAAAAAAAAAACGCTAAGAGCTTGTAAAAACTGTTTACATTATTAACAATATAATATTATTATTTGTTCAAAACAAAAAATGTATATATTTTTTATAAAATATGTAAAATATTAGTGGTTTCATTCAGAGCCATAGCTAGGCTTTCTCAATTTGCCCCAGCATTTTTAGGGGGTCCTCTGGAAAATTTAAGGGCCTTTTGTAAATTTAAGGAGCCTTTTTTATTTTTTTGTAATACCTAAAAAAAAAATTTTAGGATTTTAGAGCCCTCATGACTGGTTTTAGGGAGGGGCCTGCGATCCACTAGAAACTACACTGGTATTATCACCTTAAGGTGTTTGTTTAGTACCACCGTAATATTTAAAAAATGAAAAGACAGTCATATCATATCATATTTTAATTTTATCAACATTGTATTACTGTTTTATTATAAAGTTACTAAACCATAAAATTATTAAATATACTTTAAGTATTTATTTTACTACTTCAGGAGAAGTTAATAGTATACCATAATATATATTTTTTCAACTATGTGGCTATGAAAAAAGCCGTTTTAGTAAGTTCAAGTCATCTTATTTCCTTTTTAATGTTCTTGTTCCAAAATTAAGGGTGATTTTTTAAATGATGTTCCTACCCTGTAAACACCGTACGATGGCCCTTTATTGGGCCAATAACTTTTTTGAACATATATAACGGGCCATTGTATGCTATCGTTTTGCCTAAATTGCTGAGGCTTTGCGTTTGTCGGCTTGCATTTGAAGCTGATATAGAAGCCTAAATACTGGCCGACTTATTTGGGAATTTATTGGGTCAAGAAGGCTATATATAATAATATAAAATAAATAGCTGCTAATAAGTCGTATTTTAAATATGGCGCACATTTTGGATTAACGCAATCATTTTGGACCAATATTAATAATATTATTGGAAATAAGATATTATTATTTCAGAACTGAATTTAATTTAGAACTGTATTTTAAATTCAATTTCAAAGTATACATATATATGAATTATACGCATATTTTTTTTCCATAGTTTTAGTTTATTATCATTATAGCTTTACTAAAGTTTATATAAGTTATATTATAACTTATATAAAAAGGAATTTCAACAGATCATGGATACTGTGCAAACTTATTGGTCAAAGAGAAGAAAAATAATTAAATCTGTCAACAAAATTATGTCCGATATTGATACAGAATTTTCTATTTCTAATAATAATAAAGCTTTAAAAAAAGTTAGTTTTATATGTCATGCCTCTTAATAAGAGGCATGACATATAAAACTATCTTTTTTTAAAGCTTTATAAGAAATGGAGAGAAGTGATCTAATTAATGCTGATTACAAACAACATGGTCATCCTACAATATCATTAAAAGAATAAGAGTCTTTGACTCTTATTCTTTTAATGATATTGTAGGACAAAAAGATGATCATGTTGTTTGTAATCAGCATTTATTAGATCACTTCTCTCCAATTCTTGATAACTCCAATTATAATTACGAATCTGAGTTTAATATGCTGTATTTAAGTTTAATAGATAGAGAAAAGTTGACTGAAAATAGTAGTTATGAGGAATTTGTAACAAATAGTTGGGAAATGTTTATGAAGCAGGATACAATTGAATCCATTGATGTAGAGTCATTGTCAAATGATAGCAGTGAGGAAAACGAACCTGATATTGAAAATGAAAAAAGAGAGCTATCATTTGATTTAGGAATGTGGGGAGCATCATTTTCTATTCCTATGGTTGCAGTATCTTCACTTTTCGATATGCTTAGAGTGTTGCACCCATCACTTCCAAAAGATTCGCGAATGTTACAAAAACATCTAGAGCAAGAACTGTCAAAACAATTAAAGGGGGCTCCTAATATCACTTTGGTGTTATTAATTCATTGCAACTCATAATTCATTTGCCTTATTTTTGTACAAGTCTTTGCTCTGAAACTCTATCACTTTCTCTACAAATTAATATTGATGGATTACCTTTACAGAAGTTAAGTACTCAACAATTTTGGCTGATTCTAGCAAGAGTATCAATCCCATTTTCAAGTAATCCATTTTTGATTGGCTTGTTTTGCGGTCAAAGTAAATCAGTTAACTTGAATGAATATTTAAAAGATTTCATTGAAGAAATGTTAAAATTGGAAAAAGGTCCTATTAAAATTGATGTAGATGGTACAAAATACTCAATAAACTTTGGTATATCCTGCTTTTTATGTGGTATTCCTGCAATGGCATATAAAAAACAAACTAATGGACATAGTGGATATTACAGTTTTAATAAGTGTATCCAAAAAGGGGAATGGCACAGTAAGGTTTAGTAAGTAATAACAGTAACATTTCTTAAAACTGATGCTCCACTTAGAACTGATCATTCTTTTAATGAAATGACAGATGCTAATCATCACATTGGAGATACTCCATAGGGAGTCCCAAAAAAAAAATTTCTGAAAATAATCTGCTCTCACCCCCTAAATGTGTTCTATCTAATACAAAAACACTAGGTTTAAATTTTTTTTGAATAAAAAATATTTTAAGGGGTCCCTCAAGACCCTCGAATATTTAATGGATCCCTAATATTTTCGAAAAAAAAGTTTTTCAAAAATATTTCAACCTGGTACTCAAATGAAGCGAAATTATATAAATATTTCAAAAATAATATTCATTTCGAAATATTTTTAACTTATTTATCAAAATTATCATAAAAAAACATTAGAAATGCATTTTTTTCATTTTTTCTTAAAAAACGCAATTTTTTATGTATTAAAACCAAAAATAACAATTTTGTTTTGATATGAATATTATTTTTTTAAATTTTTATATAATTTCGCTTCATTTGAGTACCAGGTTGACATATTTTTGAAAAACTTTTTTTTCGAAAATATTAGGGACCCTAAAATTAAATCAATTTTTGTTATACAGTGGCATTGTTGCACTAAAAGGACATCTTACGAAATCTGTATACAACAATTTTCTTTTATTTTTTGTTGGGATACACTGTTTAGCCAGTTCAGATCTTTATCAAAGTCATGCTGATATGGAATCTATCTTACGCGCCTTTGTAAAAAATGCTATAAAAATTTATGGCAGAGGTTTTATTAGCTACAATGTACACAGCCTAATACACATTGCAAGTGATGTAAAAAGATTTGGATCTGTTTATAATTACTCTGCATTTCTGTTTGAAAATTTTCTAGGGTATTTAAAGCATTTAATACATAAACCTTATTTACCATATCAACAGGTTATCCGGCGTATATCTGAAAGAAATGGATCAATTATAAGAAACTCTGATAAATGTATGAAGGAAGGCATTCCCAGGAAGCTGCTTGAAAATGGTCCTATTGTTTTAAGAGCACAAACAGAATGTCTACAGTATCAAGAAATTACTTTAAATGGAATTTTTTACTCTACTTCAAAAGGAAACAATTGCATAAAAATAAAAAATGACTTTTGTTTAATTTGTAACTTTAAAATTTCATGGTGATAATAGGCATTTTATTGTTTATGAAAAATTTCTTACTATTGAACATTTCTTTAGATATCCTGCAAATTCTTTCGAATGTTTTGGTATAGTAAAGGTCTCTAAGTTATCATGTCAGTATGAATCTGCCACAACAGATGAAATACAGAAAAAATATGTTATACTACCATGCAAGTCCAAATTTGTTTGTATTCCTCTGCCTATGAAGCCTCAAATGCATAAATAATAAACTGGAATTTTTTTTTTTCTTTTTTTGCTAAATTTTTGTATTAGCGCTCATTTGCATATCAGTATTAGTATTTGGTATTACTGATTTTTATGTTTATCTTTTTATTTCAGTTAGTAATGTAATATTTAGTTGAATTTGAGGATAAAGTGGCGGTGGTTCCTGATTGCTGGTTGTTACAAGAATCAGCTACATGTTATTGGCCTCAGGGAATTGGTGCTAAACAATGGTCAAAAATGAAAAAGTTATTAATTCCTAATCACAAAGATTGGCTTCTTTATTCTTATATAAGAATATTGAAAATTGGAGGTATATAATTTCTATATGGTTTTGGAAAGTTTTGATTATATGATTGTTTCTGCAAATTATAATTTTCCAGACTATGAAAAAATGAAAAAGGCAGAGGCTAAATCTTTGCACTACACAAATTTTTCTTCAAGTTGTTCGGAAATAAAACATGATTTGAAGAGGAAAAATTTGCAAACACAATGGTAAACTATATCATATTTATTGTATATTTTAAAAATATAATATTCTAAATGATTCTAAATGCAAACTAGAATTCTTAGCTTGAAATTTTATATTCGTTATTATTTACATTACAATTTTATTAACATTTTGTTTTCAATTTTAGGAGTCCTGACATTTCAATTGAGAAAAAGGTAAAAAAGTGAAAATTCGAAAATCAAGAAAAAGAAAAAATCATGTAGACAGTCAACTTCAACCACTTCCACAGATCGAGTTGATAAACCTTCAGCTAGTTCTAGCACAGACATCATATCTTCAATTCGTAAGTTTTGCATTTAAAATAATATTTTAAAATTAATATGTTGTATATTGCAAGTTTGGCATATGTGTTCAATTATATTTTCAAAAAGGTGGTCTTTTTATAATAGACCGCTTTTGAAAGTTACAAAATACTAAGTTTTTTATGGTTCCTGGTGCTCTAATAAGTTAGAGTTTTTTTTTTATTTTTTATTTTGCAGTTAACGTTTATAGTTCCAAAGTCTCTCAACTTTTTTAAAAGCCCTAACACTAGAAATTATGCAAAAATAACGATTTTGTAATACAATAATAAAAATTTTATTTTTGGTTATATATACTTCTTTACTTTATTCTTACAGTTTACCATGTTTTGTCAACTCGTTTTTCAGGAGGTAATGGCAATGGTTCAATGTTGTAGTTTATTAAAGAAATCCACTAGCTGTTTTGGCCTCAGGGAATAGGTGCCACAAAATAGGCAAAATAAGAAATGCACTCATATTAAATAATAAACACTGACCTATCTATCCATAATTATGGTTATTGAAAAGTAGCGGTAAGTAAAATGGTACCAATTCTATTATCATACTCTACCATCTATGCTTACATATTTTGATTGATATGCCAAAAAAGCAAACACAGTGGGTAGCATTTATTTATACCTTATGATTAAAAAAAAAGTTATAAATTACTTTTCAGGGTTCGAGCTCAAGCTAAGAAGAAGAACTACAAACGCCACAAACGATGATGCATTAATCACTTCCTACACCACTACATCTATATGTCTAATTGTACTTACATTTCACAAAAGGTTTGGTAAACCAGAGCTGAAAGCTGATGTTAATGAGCAGTGGCAGAAACAAGCCTGCATCGGACAAACCATTAATGCACCTCTCTCAGATGCCTTGACTTTTCCACTCCAAGAGATAAATGATCTTCTGGAAAATCAACCCAATTGCAAGATTCTGAGTAGTGATCAAGAACAATAAGCTATATTTTATTAATTTGTGTTTTTTTATATCTCTATTTTAATAAATTGTTTAATATTTTTTTAATATAATCTGTTATATAATTGTAGAAATAATAATTATATATTTTCTTGCTATAATACATCAATAAGATAACCTAAATGCTTATTTTATTGATGTATGTTAGCAAGAAAATATATAAATATTATTTATTGTTGTTAATCAGAGTATTAGACTTCTGTGTAGTCAATTTTTCATGTGCTGACCATTAAATTAAGTGGCTTTTCCTTGCCATTAGAGGAATTTTTTTTGGTAAATTATTGTGTAAGGTTGGTATCGGTAAAAATATTGTGGAACTGAATATCCAAACAAAATAGAGTCCAGTTCTCAAAATTAGGATACAGGTACCCAGGTAATTGGATCCAAATCTTGTATCCAACTATGTCCTACACATCAGGGTTTTACTCTGGTTTTAAAATTAAAGTGTCATATTTCTAAACATCTCAGATGTCCTTTTACTTTAAACTAAAAATTACAATGATACTCTCATTTTAACACCAGATTAAAACCCTAATTTATACACAGGTGATCTGTGTGATGGTGGATTAAAGTTTTATTTTGATAGATAGATTTTTATTTTTTCTATTTTCTGTTTATCTCTGATTACTCTTGGTATTTGTTTATGCAGGTGCAGTAAGAAAACTATCCCTAAGCGACAATAAGTCAACCGGACGAGATGCTGCCAAAATGGCTATCAAGTTCAATTGACATGGATGGTCTCGAAAAAATCGCTAGGAGAGGCGTAGAGGAAAGTTCTTTAGAAGATATTTAATTTTTATATTAAATGTAATGAAGTGTTTTTTATAATGTGTTTATTTTCTTTTTTACATTGCTATTTTATTGGATATTAGTTGAGAATATTTATCGAATAAATTTCTTTTATATGACTTATGTTTTTTGAATTTTATTTCAAACAAATCGACATTCCTATTATTTTAAAAAGATTATTTTGAAAAGAAATTCAGTGTAATATTCTATGTATTACAAGTTTGTTAGCATGGAAATGACAATTCTAAGCTCTTGTTGCCAAAAAAAATGTGTGAATATATAAAGTGCCAAGAATAGCCAATATTAGGCTTGTATTGGCCGATATTGGGCTTGAATTAGCCAATATTGGGCTTGAATTGCCCAACGTTGGGCCAGTATTAACCTACATCGCCCCATTAATGGTCAATGTTAGGCCATGATAAGCTAATCAAAACCAATAATGGCCCAATATTGGAGCCATGATTTATCCAGCAATCGGCCAATGTTTGCCCAATAAAGGCCCAATTTGCGCCCCCCGATATTTGCCCAATGTTTGCGGCCAATATAGTAGCCAATAATTGCCCAATCATGGCCCAAGGAATTTGTGCTATCTGGGTAATTTATCAAATTTGTTTACTTTTTTTTAATCTTGAAAGCTTTCAGCTCATCTTTGCAAAAATAAAATCTACGAACAGTGTTAGAATATCCTACACTTTTAGCAGCAAATATGAAATTCCGCTAATAATACAATTTAGACAAGTTAGAACTTTTTTTTTTGTTTGTTTTTTTTTGTTTTTGTTTTGTGAACTGAAACTAATTGTGAGATGGTATCCAAATCATTCCAACTAAGTCCTAATCGAATATTTTGTTTAGTAATGTATTGGAATATAATCGGATACATGCCTAAATGTTATAATATCATTGATAATATCATTGATAATATCATTGATAATATCATTGATAATATCATTGATAATATCATTGATAATATCATTGATAATATCATTGATAATATCATTGATAATATCATTGATAATATCATTGATAATATCATTGATAATATCATTGATAATATCATCGATAATATCATTGATAATGTCATTGATAATATCATTGATAATATCATTGATAATATCATTGATAATAGAGTCAGAAATTTAGAGTCAGAAAAAACCAAAGACTAGTTTTGATACTTTTTTTTTTTTTTTTTTTTTTTTTTTAAGTTGATTAAGGTGCCCCAAGAAGTCCTTACGGTCTTATCACAGAGCACCGCGGATACTTCAAAACTTAAAAGAAAAAAAACTTAAAAGAAAAGTACAGATTTTGGCTTTAAAGATTTTAAAATGAACTTGTTGTTTCAGAAAATATTTTGTAGAATCTGCGGTAAAAATATATATATACACACTCGCGCGCGTACACATCTATGTATACATAGCTATGTGAGTGTATAAACGCGCGCGTGTGTATTTATGTGCAAATATGTTTGTATCTATTTATGTGGGTAAGTATGTGTATATATATTTGTGTTTGTGTATGCATGTATGCATTGTGTATGCAATATTAAACTTTCTCATTTTTTTAATGCTTTTTTGTTTTTCTTTATTTTATCTTTAATTTTTATCATGTTTTTTGTAATAGTTTTATTTCTTTTAGTTTTAAATATTTATTGTTGCCACAATTATTATTATTTTTAACTTTACTATTATTGTTCCTTTTTTATTTTATTCATTAAATTTTTTTAATTTAATTACTATTATAATTGTATTGCTATTGTTTTTTTTATTATTGTTGTGGTTTTTATGTTTATTACTATAAATACTATTTTAATATTAACATTACTATTCTTATAATTATTACTAATTATATATATAAAGATCTATATTTTTGGTGTTTACTTAAGATTAGTAGAATTACTATTTGTAAGCATCCATGAAATTATTTTTCAGAATATATATATGATGATGATGATGTTTACATTCCGAAAATGTCTCTTTTATTCGAAAGTAAAAAGTCTCCGTGTTTACAGCATTAAAATATTCATTAAATGACTAAAAACCTCTTATTTTATCTTTCCGTAAACAGTAAAAACGTAAAAATCAAAGTTTTCACATTAGTTTTCATTCATAGCAATTTACTTCCATAATGTCTTTATAGTCGTTACAATAAATTACATAACAGAAACGTTTCAGCTTTTATATAACTTCTGCCCCATAGTATTAAGTTAAAACTTTAAACTCGTAGATAATAAAATCACTGAACATTTGTAAACAAAAAAAAAACAACGAGCTACGTGATTTAAAAAAAAATAAACCAATCGGCATTTTTTGAAAACGAAAAGACCTTAACGCTGTATATTTTTTCGGATCTCTCCTTAACCATGCTGAGTAGAGACTAAGCTTCTTCTTAGTAGAGACTGAGTAAAGACTAAGCTGACTTCTTCTTGAAATTCTTGAAATAATTAAACTTGATTTTAAACTCAGTTTATAGCAGGGTATCATTTATCTGTAGCAAGCTTTTCTGTTATCTGAACTAAATAGTTTTGAAACCTAATAAAATGAATAAACCTTTGCTTTCTTTTATTCGTTATTAAATTGGCCTTGTCCTTGTGTTTGGCGTTAAGATGACGATTCACCTTGCGATATACATTGTTTCTTGCAAAACAAACACATCACACAAATATACTTTCTTTACTTAGATTAAAAATTACTTTCTTCACTCTCTGGTTACGATAAAACAAATTAGCTAATCTAATATTTCATCTAAAATGGAGGTCTTTTTTCAACAAATATAAACACAATAGCTACTAAAAAGGCATCGAGTTCAGTCAAATTATCAAATTCTGCGCCAGAAAAAGATATTTTAAAATAATTGATGCACTTTTCCGGCTTATCACTCTGTCCGGTCACTCCATAAAGTTTAAGTTATTTTACAAAATTTATAGAGAACGGCCTGCGTTTCCAGACTAGTTAAATAGAATAAAACATTTTAATTTTATAAAGCATTTTAATGTTATAGAGAATAAAACATTTCAACTTTATTTATCTTCTATGTAACATTTTAATCTTGTAAAGAATAAAACGAAGTTTTATTCTATACAAGTTTAAGTATAAGATTTTGTTTTTTTTTGTTTCCAGCCTCCAACCATCGCAGCTTTTTGCAAAGCATCACTATTTGACATAAGTTTAAACATACAAATGTTTGGAGTTTGTTCCATGTCTAGAAGTTAGCTATCTCAAATACCAAAAATGCTGGACCCGTCACTGAAAGCCACAACCTAGTTATACCCATCAGTTGATTATGCGTATCTATTCCCAACTCACAGTAGTCCGTTTCGGAGTTTTGTAAACAACTTTATATAGCTTTATGAAAACGGGTCACAATTGAATCGGATTTGTATTATGAAATTGTGACATATGTGTATACAGTACACTGTAAAAAAAGACATTTCCGTTGTTTTGTTACGGAAAAAATCCGTTTTCAATAAATTACGGTCTTTTACCTATACTTTTAAGACTTTTGAAATGATCACATCTTTTTATGGGATTTTGACCGAATTTATGTTACGGAGAAAATCCGTAACTTTAAATTACGGACTTTAATCGTATATTTTAGTTTACTTTAGTAGCATCTAATTTACGGAGCGCCATAGTACTTTTTAACGAAGAGAAGTTATACACATTTTTAATTTCAAGACTTGAAATTAAAAACGTGTATAACTTCTCTTCGTTAAAAACGTGTATAACTTCTCTTCATTGATAATCAAAAATTTTAATTTCAATAATTGCAATAAACAATATTTTGTTGAAATTTTTTGTTTTTTTAATTAAAATTAAATTAATCAAATTAAATTTTTTATTGGAAATTAAAATTTTAGATAAATTTTTTTGAAATTAAAATTTTAATTTTCAGAAATACCTGTCTTTAATAAATATCTATATATATTTATAACAGCATCCTTAAAAAAATCAGCACCTAAATTACAAAAAAATTTAACTTGATTCAAGTTGAACTAATAAAATTATTAGAATATTACATGTGTGTTAATCAACTGCTTGCTTGCTGCTGCAAAACAACCAGTAGTAAAACGGAGAAATATGATGGAGTAGTTCAATTGCTGAGCGTAAAACTTAACTTCACTTTAATATGGTTGTTACGCAGTCATCACATATATGAGCTGCATATGTCTAACTTCATGGAAGTACTCACAGAAAAGACAAAAGGTCTCCATAGAGCATTATATTTAAAGTTAAAAAAATGTATAACTAAGTTTGTACAGAAGTGAACGCTCTAAATAGTATTGTAAAAATAAGTTGGGGGATGACCTAGAAGTTGATTCAGTGTTGTTTACTCTTGCAAAAGATGCTCTTACTTTCTTTTCAAAAGCTCTGCTCAAAAGTACTTTTGCAAGAGGTAATTAAAAAAACCTTTGCCATCTTGTTGTTTTTATCTTGGTGGAAATGTAACTAATTTTAAATTCTATCAACTTGGCGCTTGTTATGAGGCACAGATGGACTTTACCTCCTTAAATTGGAAATGACAAAAAATGTTGTTAAAATAATGACAGAAAAGGAAGAAAATAAAGTACAATTGTACAATTGTAGAAGGAAATTATAGAATAAATTGTAGAAGGAAAGTTTTTTTTCCGTCATTTTTAATGCACCATGGTTTTTGGTGCCAAAAGCTCTCAGTCCTCAAAAGCACCCAAGAATGACCTTGATGTTGCCAGGGCAAGTCTTAAAATTCAAGAGCAATACGATGACCAGTTAGGATAGTCTTTAACAAAGAGTATAAAACGGTCTATAAAGTACGAATGCTCGGAGGGGAAGAGGGGTGTGCAAATGACGTATATGAGATGGGAGGGTAGTGAGTCAATTATACAAGAAAGGAGATACTAAATTAAAAAAAATATTGTAAAATGTTAGATAAATAGTTTAAAAGCTTAGCTACTTTTAAGGAGGAGGAGGGTACTCAAAAAGCGTATTGCAAAATGCAGATGGGGGACGGGGGGACGAAAAAAAAGCGTACGTACTTTATAGACAACCCCTTAGTAACAGAACAATTTAAGTAACTGAGTTACTTAAATTTTTATTTTGAATTTTAAAATTAAAATCAAAAATGTAACTTTCAAATTTTAAACCAATGTAGAGGCTTCATATTAATTGTGTTTTATATAAAAATAAATTCATATGAAACTTTAGTAAAAGAACATGAAGTGTATTGGTTTGCTATTTGAAAAATGGTAGGCGGAGGGGAAAGGAAGAATGTCAAGGAAACTTACCTTCAAATACGTAACTAATTAAAGTACCAAGCAATGTACAATATTTTTATTTTTACCAAATTTTAACCAAAAAAACACTTTTATTATATTAGAAAAAAATGTATTTGTATACTCCAAATGCTTTCTTAATATCACAACAAAAGTAATAAATTTTGCGAATTTATGGATAATTTGAATAATAAATGCTCGGTAATAAAACAAAAACAAATATACGTATGATTTTAAATGGAAAATATATGTAGTGAAGGCCCTTTTTTTTTTAATTTAAATAATTTTTTTAAATTTAAATAAAATAAAATAAAAATAAAAATAATAAATTATGTATAAATGTGTATGTGTATCTGTGTATGTATGTATTTATGTATGTATACTGGTATATATATGGGTGTATATGTGCTGTTAGTATGGGTGTGTGTGTGCTTGCGGTCTATGTATTTTCAAAATAAAAAATAAGAAAAAAGAAAAAAGAATAGTGCTGCATAACCTCTGGCGTAGGAACAGCCAACTAAAACTGCTTGGCAATCGTTGGGCTGGATTAGAATTCGGTGATACCACCTGTGATGGCTTGTATGGTAAAAATGCAAACACAATATATACTTTAAAAAAAAAAAAAAAAAACTATATTAGAAAAAGAGCAAATTATCAACAAGAATGTCCACCCCACCCTGATTTTATTTTCTACAATTTTAATGCAAAGAAATGTTCAATTCAATTATTTTTTTAATCTATTCGATTTATATTAACATCACCAAAACACACAGACGCCATCAAACACATCAATAAATATACTGAAGTATATTAGTTATTTTTAACTATTCTTTGCAACGGTTTATATAATTATTTATCGAAACAGATCCAATTCAAAAGCGAATAAACATTTACAAAAAATCAATAAAAATTAATTCATTTAAAGCGTTTTGATTCCAGTGGATCTCTACGACAAGACCTCAAGGACTTCTTCGAATTTCTGCATTCTTTAATCCTAATTTTTATTGTTATATTTCTATTGTTAATGAAATCTTATTGTAATTTAGCCAAATTGCTTTATATTAGACCCTCCCTCAACGTCACTGAAATCAACAACTTTTGACAAAAAAAATGACACTTTTTTGACTCTTAATATGTAAACGAGCCGAGCCGAGCACTGACAAGCTTGGCTCGTTCGGCTCGATTTACAGGCCTAATTAGGAGCCCGGCAATAGTTTTAATGACCTATTTTTTTTAAATCATTTTTTCAGTCAATTTTTTTTGGGGGAGGGGGACAAATTATTAGGAGTAAAAAAACCCATGCATTTCCCTCCCCCGTTGCTAGGGGCCTATATATATATATATATATATATATATATATATATATATATATATATATATATATATATATATATATATATATATATATATATATATATATATATATATATATATATATATATATATATATATATATAAATATATATATATATATATATATATATATATATATATATATATATATATGGAACTACCAGAGCAGCCGTGGCGTAGTGGTAGCGCACTTGTCTGAGAAACATAAGATCCCTGGTTCAAACCCCACCTCTGGGCAAGCTTGTGATACCTAGAAATCCGGACAAAAGTTCGGTCGACATAAATTGTTTAAGGAGTGTTGCAAAATTGTTGCAACTTATGCTACGTTGTAGTAAATTTAATTGTCTACAAATCGCAATATATCTTTTAGCAAACAATTATTTATAATGGTAAAGAAAATTATCTCAAAACAGGAAAACCTCAGAAAGCGCGTGTACGCGTTAATCGATTTGCATCCGGACATAAAGAAAAGTGAGATTGTGAGACACTTCATGATCGATGACGCATCAAGGTCGACCCTGTATAATATTCTGCAGCGCAAGACGCTCAATATAGGCCCTGAAAGACAGCGTTGAACTGGACGGGTGGCAATTAAGATGAACGCAAAGCGAATCACCATGCTGAAAAAATGACGGAGTCAGCCAGCGTCAGCTAGCCCGCTAGTATGGTATCAGCCAAAAGCACATATCAAAAACAGTTAACATCAAGACAATAATCAAATACGAAAAGAAGGAAAAAGTTCCGGATCGAACTTCACAACAGAAGTCAGCCGTTCGTCCGAAGTGTGCCCACCTGGCCAGAGTTTTTCCTGAAAAATCAGGTGATCATCGACGACAAGTCCTAGTTTTCGTTGAACAATAACGAGCTATCTTGAAACGCTGGTTTCTACACATCTAACGTCAAAATGACTCCAAAAGCTGTTAAACTCAAGCGAAAGTCCAAGTTCGAGCCAAAGGTACTTGTTTGGATTGCTATGTTTGAGGACGGCCTGTCGAAGCACCTGGTGATACCTTCGGGCCAAGCAATCAATCAAGATGTCTACATCTAGAAATGCTTGATGAAATGCTTGATTCCGTTCATCAAAACAGTTTATAAGAACGACGAGATCGTTTTCTGGCCTGACCTCACTTCGTCTCATTAAGCAAAAAAGACGCTGGAGTTCCTCCAAGCGAATAACATCGAAATCGTGCCTAAGGAGCATTACCCTGCCAATGAGCCAGAATTCCGACTAATCGAAGACTTTTAGTCAGAACTCAAACGAAGATTGTGGCTGGAGAGCAAAAACCGTTGACCAGCTCATTGACTGGATCAACAACTGCATAAAACGGATCAGTCAAGATTGCGTACATCGACTTGGCAAGGCTTCTTTCAGCCGAGTGGACAACGTTCATAGACATGGCGTAATAAACTTGTATATTTTTTTTAATCTAAAGCTTCATATGCTTAACTTTAATTATCTTTTTACAGAAATAAAATTGCACCTTTAGTCTCAAAGTAATAAGTTTTTTAGTTTTGTTCGGATTTCTAGGTATCACATGTTTTATATATATATATATATATATATATATATATATATATATATATATATATATATATATATACATATATATATATATATATATATATATACATATATATATATATATATATATATATATATATATATATATATATATATATACATATATATATATATATATATATATATATATATATATATATATATATATATATATATATATATATATATATATATATATATATATATATATATATATATATATAATATATATATATATATATATATATATATATCAGTGACGGATCCAGCATTTTTTGGTGTAAGAGCAAACTTCCAGACATGGAGCAAACTCCAAACATTTGTATGCTTATACTTAGGGTCGTCCATAAATTACGTCACGCAATTTTCGATTGTTTATGAATTTCCCCCTCCCTCATCACAAAATTGCAACACTTAAGTAGCAAATTTTGTATAAGTTATCACAAATCTACCCACCCCCTCCCTCTAATAGCGTGACGCAAATTATGGACAACCCCTTATCTCTCAACGTTCAAAATTTATTATCATATAAAATTTGTAACCCTCCTTAATTCGAGGAGGGTTCGCAAGATGATAAATTCTAGATCTGTCACAGTGACAGATCCAGCATTTTTTATAACAGTGTCTTTGATGAATATATTTATAGATATAGTTATAAATTTATGATCATATAAAATTTGTAACCCCCTTAAATCAAGGGGGGTTCGCAAGATGAAAAATGCTGGATCTGTCATCCAGTATTTTCATGACAGTGTCACTGATGTATTTATTTATGTATATATGGTAAAAAACACAAATAATTTAACGTTGGTATACCCACCTGATTTAGTAGCTTCCTATATAAGAGGTCATATTATGAGGTTTTATAGACAATTAATAAAAAATCCAAAGAGGTACTATTTCTTAACAAACCGTGCTATAACAGTTGATAAAACATTATAGTTTTTAAAACACTTAAAGATTTAAATCTAAGTTGGACTTGTTTTTAACATAAATTGGCTGTTAAAGCCTAGATTGCCTGCTCCTTAGATTGTTATTGCAGATCTACGCAGTGATTTTCGAATTAAAAAATACGTTGTTCTATTACTTACAACAACAACAAAAAAAAAGGTCTTAGAATTTTGGGAATTTGGAACCCATGGGGGAATTCCGCGGTATACGCGGTGCCATTGGGCTGGATATAATGAAGTTTTAAAAATGTATCTAAACATAAACAAAGATTTTTAATTCTTTTTAAAACTAAAAAATTTTTCAGAATTAGTTTTAGTTTTTAATAAAGACCATGAAGGTAGTTTTAATAGGAAACATAAATGTTGGAAAATCTTCTTTTTTTGTTCGCTTTAAAGAAGATAAATTTGTAGAAAAACTAAATTCAACAATTGGATTAGATCAATATACTAAAAGTATTACATTAAGCGATGGCAGAACAGTAAAGGTACTTTTTTTTTAATTACTTTTATAAAAATTATTTAATACTATAAAAAGTTCATTAAAAGAATAATTATTAAAAAAAAAATCATAAAAAAAGACTCTAGCCATAAAAAGCCCTAGTTCTAAACATAGCAAACCCTAATTCAAAATATTCTAAAACTTTCAAAAAACTTTTTAATCTTTTAAGAAACTTTCAGAACTGTCTTGAAAATTCTAAAACTGTTAAAAAAATAGCATACAAGTATAAAAGAACTATTAAACCAATATTTTATTTTAAGTCATCGATAAATAAAGAAATATGGAATCACATTTAAAGAGCAATTAATTTAAATTTTTAAATTAAATGACATTTTAAATTAAATAACATTAAGTCAGACAGCAAGTAAGATATTGGAAATAAATTTAATGGTTTAGCATGTGTGATTAATGTAATTAATAATGGAATTCGTCAAATAAAAAAGTTAAAGATCAGAGAAATCAAATATTTATAGACCTGCAGCCTTAAAGCAAAGTTCCTTCACAGTGGAAACAAATACTTGTCCATTCTGATGACTTATTCTGTGCATCTTAAGGTGGACTGAAATCAAAAGCCTAAAATCTACACGGAGTTGGTTTAGAATTAAGTTAGACCTCCTTAGCTATAAAATTTTACTTTTATTTTGGGGTTAGCTACCTGGCTAGTTTTCATGACTGGCTATTAGTTAGGTTTTAACTTCTGTTAATACAATTTTAAAAAACTCTTATAACTTTTTAAATTACTTAATTAAAACATGAAATAATGCAAAAAGTTAATTAAAATGTGAAATAATGCAAAAACAAGCATTGTCTCATAAATAAGTAAATTTATATCCTGATGTCTATTTAAAAATGTTATAATTATAGAGCAGGGTATTTATCATGGATCAAACAAATTGCATTCATTTAATATGGTTCCAAGGATGATCTTTTTCCATTCAATATGATACCAGTTTTACTAAAAAAGTATACATTTTACAAGTATTCTTCCAATGCTTAATGATAAACCTGGAAAACTTGAAAATAATTTAAGTTCATTCATTCAACATTGAAATTCTTGAAAACTTATAATTCTCATTTGTTTATAAATATTGATTAATGATTATAATACTAAAAGAATCTTTTTTTAATGCAAAATGAATCATTAATATTGGTAATTAGAATCATTAATATTTTCTCAATCATATTATTTTACTCATTTGTTCTTTGAAGGAGCTCTTGAATGCTGCTGTCAATTGTATCAGTCTGTTGCTGAGTTAATTTTCTTGGCTTTTTATATTCTGTGTCAACAACAGGTTTGTAAATTTGCGGCATATTAAGATTAATTCTAAAAACAATTTTTTTAGTTAGGCCTATGTAACAAAGGTACAACATGTTATTTTAATAAGAAATATTTATATAAACATATATGTTTTGTATTATACTATATATACTTTATGTATTTTGTTATAGACTAGTATAATTTTAGCTCTTTTGAGCCAAAATAATTAATTTGGTTATTCTTTACACTCAAAAGAGCTACTAGTTTGTTGTTAATAAAACTTTTGTTTGAACTCCCACTATCAATTAAAGCTTCTGCTTTATACTCTTTATTAACAATGATGCTATGGCAGACTCTGAAGAGAGAGTTTGCTGAAGCTGATATGGTGGCACAGAAGTAATCATCGTCATTGTAGGAATAGCAACAGATCTATTTACATTTGTGACAGATAGTTTCACAAGCAGGACATTTAGTACGTGGATGTCTTATGTTTCCACAAAAGCAGCACAATTGTTTTGATTTTACTATAGCAGCTAAGTGATAGTCAGTTGTGGATTGTTTTTGTAAAGATGATTTGATTTCCTGAAAAGGCAGAGGTAGATATAGTCGATTATGAGTATAAGTTTGAATTTTGTTGGGTCATGCAAATCATTTCAGATTTATATTGCTCTAACACAGTTTATATTGTCTAAATAAATATTGTCTTTATTATGTCTAACACAGCAATCATATTGCTCTAACAGCACTAACAGCAGTGAACTTACAGACTATTCTTTCTAACTATTACCACATATTGTAATGTTATCAATGAAAGGAAAGCAGTCAGTTTGTTTATACTGCTTTTGATGCTGACAATAAGTTGTGGGAATATACTAGAAAATAACTTTGTTAGAAAATATAAACTATCTGACTGCTTTCCTTTCATTGATAACATTACAATATATGGTAATAGTCAGAAAGAACATGATGAAAATCTACTTAAGTTCAGATTAGCTGCCATTGATGCTGGAAATGAATTTAATGAAGAGAAGTGTGTATTTTCAACTGAGACTTACTGTTTTTTAGGTTAGCGTATATCTTATGGCTCCTTAAAACCAGATCCTCTGAGACTTGCTTCTCTCATTAAAGTACCCCTATCTGATAATGCAAAGTCTTTGCAGCGTATTATTGGAATGTTCTCATACTATGTAAAATGGATAAGAAAATTTTCAGATAAAATTAGACCTTTAAACTCTGTTACTCAATTTCCACTCAATCAGCAGCAAATATCAGCATTTGAAACATTAAAAAATGGTTTGCATGCAAACTATTGATGAGAATATACCTTTTACTGTGGAGGCTGATGCTTCTGATTTTGCCATATCCACCACACTTAATCAGGATGAAAGACCTGTGGCCTTCCATTCACGAACCCTTCAAGGGAGTGAACAATACTATTCATCAATGGAAAAAGAAGCTCAATCGATAGTCGAAGCCATAAATCATTGACGCCATTTTCTTTTGGGGTGACATTTCATTCTCATCATTGACCAACGATCTGTGGCATTTATGTATGATTATAAATCAAGCAGTAAAATAAAGAATGATAAAATAATGCGTTGGAGAATTGCTTTGTCTCCATATTCTTATGATATCCATTATTGTCCTGACCAATGTAATCGTGGTACAGATACATTTACTCAAGTTAGATTTGCAGCAATAAGTTCAGAATCTTTATATGATTTGCATGCTGCACTTTGCAATTCTGGTTTTTCTCGCTTCCATCATTTTATTCAATCAAGAAACCTACCTTATTCAGTAGAAGATGTAAAACAAATATGTAGAGATTGTAGAAAATGTAAAGAAATAAAACCCAAGTACTGCCGCTCAAATGATTTGCAACTAATTGAAGCCATTTGAACGTATATCTATTGACTTCGAAGGTTCATTACCTTCTTCAACCCCTGAACAATATATGCTAACAATTGTAGACCAATACTCATGTTTTCCATTTGCTTATTCTGTAAAAGATATGAAAACTCAGACAATAATTAACTATTTAACTGATTTTTTTCCCATGGTTGATATGCCTAGCTATGTTCATTCGGATCGTGGATCCTCATTAATGTCTTCTGAATTAAAGCACTGGTTCTTATCAAAAAGGATCACAACTAGCAGTACAACCCCTTACAATCTGACTGGAAATGGGCAAGTTGAAAGATACAATGGAGTTATTTGGAAGTCGATATTACTCACTCTGAAATCTCGAAATCTGTCTATATCATCATGGAAAAGAGTTCTACCTCATGCACTTTATGCTACAAGATCTCTATTATGTACTTCTACTAATTGTAGTCCACATTTTTTATAAACTAGTATAATTTTAGCTCCTTTTCGCCAACATAATTAATTTGGTTATTTTTTATACAGCAACAAAGAAAAAATATTCAGTTATGAGTTTAAGTTAGAAAAATTTAATTATAGAAAAAGTTTTAAAAGGGTATCTGAGGTTAATAGCAGGTGAATTTCATGAGCATGTTATGCATTCATGCCCCAACAGCTTTGATAATCTTTTCATGTTAGCTACACCATTGGTTGTATTAAAAAACAAAAAAGTTTTATCTTGGGGTATAAATTCTTTTATAACACAAGATAAAACTTTTTATAAAATATAAATCTCCAATTATTTACAATACTTAAACAAATTCTTAAATATGGTAAATGATTGTGCTCATTCCAACCATCCGTCATCAAAGTTCCACTTACACAAGATTAATAAACTTCTAAGATTTGTTGTTTAACAGAAGTATAAACATTTTAAAGAGCAACTCCCGATATGCAGTCGGATGTAGGTTGAAATGACATTTTAATTAAATACAAATATTTAAGAAATTTTGTTATCAAATACAATAAAATTACACCAAATCAGCCTATTTTACCAAATACAAATATGTATTTGACTGCAACCCTACCAATTGGTAATTTTTGAATTAATTGGTTTCTAAAATTCCTCCCATGTCTCAAAACACCATGGTTCAGATGGTTACCAGATGATGCCATAGTTAAAGAAACATAAATCTATGATAAATGATTTTCAAGCAAGGGATTGCTTTTTAAAACAGTATCTACAGTACAATTGATTACTAATTGAAATATTTCATTTGCCTAATTTTGCTGAATCTTTTAGGACTAGGTTATCCATGAAGTCCCATGCTTTGGATGGGGATGTTCTAGATTTGTGGTTGAACATAAAAATCTATTTCAATTCCTTAATAAAGCGTATTGTACTAGTTAAATGTTTAATGGAAACCAATTTTTATTCAAAGAATAATATGATGTAAAATATCATATACTTTCTGATATATGGTATATATCCAATAGCATATGATAAGTCTAAAGTAGTCATTTTCTTATGTTATATTTTTATACTTTTTTGCTATAACAATTATAAATTTAATAAACATAAAGTGCTTAAAGACAATAAAATAATAATAAAATAAAAAAATTCAGATGATACAAAATACAACCATCCCTATTTCACCCATCACCTATGAAGAACAATTGCCATTGCTATTATTACATTTGTTAAAATTTATTTCTGAGCTATTCTGTGTTTTTCATTTTAGTTAAAATGATAGTTATACTTTTGTGAGAGCCGTAAACTCTTTTAGAAGAGTGTGGGCAAGAGCGAGAGCTATAGCTCTTGCTTCTCGTCAAGGCCTGTATATATATACTTTTAAAAAGGAGAA